CCACAAAAAGAAAAGCTCGGCCCCCCCCCCCCCCCCCCAGGAAAGACGGCTCTCAGGCAAGGGTCCCTCCATGCGGTGGAGTTGCGAGCTACCATCATTAAAACTTGAGAGTGAGCGATTTGGCTCTTGCCTAAATTCTTCCTGAGCGAAGACAAAAAATGTGTGAGCCGGAGGGTAGGAAACGGTGAGCTCAGCTGAGAGGGGACCCTGCTCACAGGCCCTCTGGGAAGCCCCACTCCCACCCAAGTCAGCCCTCCTACGGGGAGCGGCCTGGCTCAAGCACCCCTGCTGCCACTGACGGGCTTGCAGCCCATTCCGCTGCCCCCGGAAGCCACACCCGTGCACACGCTGGCACAACAAATGCCCTGCCTGAATGCTGCAGGTGAGGGGAAAGCTCACGCCACGGAAAACCACGTCACAACTGCCTGATTCTGGAACGTTCTGGACGCTACCAGAGCCACCCTCAGCAGGTCTGCCGGGATGGATCACACGGGGAGGGGGGGCTCCCTCCCTGGCACGCATCCCCCGGGGCTGCAAGTGAGGGATCTTCTGCAGCGGCCTGCAGCGATGTGGGGCTCCACAGGGCGCCGTCTTATCCCCCCCCCCCCAATGCTGTTCAGTCTGTGTCCCTCAGCAGAAATCATTCCGTTTTTGGAAACAGATGCCTTCGCTATGGTACTGACACCCAGCTCTCTCTCTCTCGCAATCCAAACCTCCCCACAAGATGGTAGAGTGAACAGACAGGACTCGAACCTGGAGAACACGGAGGCCAGGCTGCCTGGGAAGGCGGAGATCTTGAAGGACGCTGCCCTTCCCACGTTCCAGACTCGGTCAAGAGCCTGGGGGTTATACCGGGTGACCCAGCATGGCTGCTGGAGAAGCGAGCAAGCGTCGCTGCAAAAAACACTCTCTCCCAACTTTGTCAAGCCTGGAAGACGGCCGCCTACCCGGACTCAGTCACCCGGACCAATGCCAGGGTAACACCGAGATCTCAGACTAGTGCAGTGGGCTCGATGGGGGTACATCGACAATAAATATGTCCACGTGGTCTGTCTATACGTGTCGAGGCTATGGCACATGTTAGATGGGCTAATTGCGGAATACGAAGGGTGGACAAAGCCCAGCGCTTCTACACGGTCCACTGGCCTTCTGTTGCTCACATTATTCAAATTCGTTTATTTAAATTGGAATTGGAAAATTTTCCCAAAGAAGAAGAGGAGGAGATTGGATTCATACCCCATGGCCCTTCACTCAAGAGTCTCAGAGCAGCTGACAGTCTCCTTTCCCTCCCCACGACAGACACCCCCCTGTGAGGAGGGCCCGCATCACTCACTGATGGGCTGTCCTGCATCTGACAGGAGCCCCGACACGGGACGATTCAGCAGTGGAGAGGCATTGTGGGGCTGGCCAGGAGAGAAGCTTCCGTGAGAGGCAGCCTGACCTCCGGGGCCCTGTGATAGCACCAGCCAGGGGAATGGGCCCGGTGCCCAGAGGAACCCACCCACAGGGAAACGGGAAGCTTGCTCTAGATCGTCTCCGCCCCCTTCCTCGGTGCTTTAGAAAAGGCCGCCATTCCTAGGAACCACCCTGTTCCGTCAACGCATGCCAGGCGCCTCAGCACCCGTGGCCACGGAGGGCTCTGTTCCAGATCCACGCTGCCTGGGCACCAGCACCCGTGGCCAGAGCCGCCCCCCC